TTCCCAGAATTCCCCAGCCAGCATGGCTGGCTGGGGAATTCTGGGAATTGAAGTCCACACGGCTTAAAGCAGCCAAGGTTGAGGAACACTGCTATAGAAGACTTTCCCCCGAAAGGGACAGGAAGAAATATTTTGAAAACAGGCCAAAGAGCCACATTCAGTGGGCATTTAGCCCTTTGGTGAGGTGAACAGTGCTTTGATAGTGTAGGGTTTTTTAATCACTGATTTCTATTATTTATATATGTTTTAAGACCACTTCTTTTTGGACCTTCCTGGGCCCTGCCCCATCTGTTCAGACTGGAGCAAGCTACGAATACTGTTAAATAAATCAGTACATTTGATTTTGGATGGATGGGGTTGGATGGAATAGCTTGGACCTACAACAAAGCAGCCAAAGCTTTTGATGTCATAAGCTACCTTCTCTTTGTTGCGCCATGACAGGCAAATCCTCTTGCCCCACCCCCAGATTCATTCAAGATGATGCCTGTGCTTCCCCCCGTGTGGGAAAATCAATCAATCAATCAATCAATCAATCAATCAATTCCCACTGTTATCACCATCGGCAGGCATCAATCTCTCACCCAGAGGAAATACGAAGTCGAGCTCCGTCCCAACCAGTCCATGATGTTGAAGGTAAGGAAACAGCAAACGGGAGTGAAGAAATTCTCTAATGTGGGGAGAAGATGAAATCACACCCAGAATAGTCCGGACCACATCTTGAGTCACGTTCACCCAGCGCTGCTCAATCTTGTGGTGGCCCTCCAGGTTCCAGAGACAACTCTTTTCCACCACCCAGTCTTTAAGTTGGAGATGTGCCCCCGCTGTGGACCAGCATTGCCCATTCCTCCCCTCTTTGTAAATGCCCCATCACTCACGCCAAGACAGGTTCTCAGAGGAGCTGACAATTCTTGTGGTGATGGCTGGAAACACCGACAGGGTAATGGAGAAATCCATAACGATAGAGAGGGCCGGCAGCCAAATCTGAAACGGAAAAGCGGAAGCTGCGACATGACATTTGCCATGTTCCATACCTGTAGCCTCCCTTCAACCGTCATAAAATGGAGGACATTTCTAGAGTAAACTGAGTCCCAGGATACTCATGGGGTGGAGAAAGAACCACAATAGAAAATGCCCAAATGAAACCAGCAAGAGATACCTCCTTTAATTTCAACCAGTGTTTCTCAATCTTGACAACTTGAAGATGTGTGGACTACAACTCCCAGAATTCCCCAGCCAGCATAGAACAGTGTTCCTCAACCTTGGCTGCTTTAAGCTGTGTGGACTTCAACTCCCAGAATTCCCCAGCCAACATGGCTGGCTAGGGAATTCTGGGACTTGAAGTCCACACATCTTCAAGTTGTCAAGATTGAGAAACACTGATCTAAACTATTCTAGGGCAGCCACATTTTACACAAAGAAGCGAGATCCTGCCAATGCTTACGAAATAAAATAAATAAAATGCATAAAATGTTACAGCAGAGATTTCAGATTTCAAACATCTTCGATCTCCCCACCTGGTTTTCCAGCTCCCCCTCCCCAATCTAAAGGATTCCCATTTAAAGATTTGACTGAGCTTTTACCAACTTGGCAGATACAGGATACGGCTGTGCAGTATTTCACACCGAGACGTCATTTGAATATGGCTTGGTCGACGGGTGGATTCAGAATCAGATTCGTTCATGAAAACGCATTACTCAGATTGAATTGGATGTGTTGTTGAAATGGCCCATTTCCTGCCTACAGAAATGACCTACAAATTAACCAATGGGGTGTAATTTCCCAAAACGCTAACGCAGCAGCTTTGCGTGGCTTGAGAATATAGTCACTAGTTCCTTAACTAATGTGGGGAGATGTGGCGCAAAAAAAAAGATTGGGATGCCCTTCGAACAGCCATTCATGCCCTTGTTATCTCCCAGATAGACTACTCCAATGCGCTCTACGTGGGGCTACCCTTGAAGAGTATCCGGAAGCTACAGCTGGTCCAGAATGCAGCCGCGCGGGCTATTTTTGGAGCCCCGAGAAGGCCCCATGTAATGCCTCTGCTCCGCGAGCTGCATTGGGTGCCAGTTTGCTTCCGGGTCCAGTTCAAGGTGTTGGTTATCACCTTTAAAGCCCTACATGGCAGGGGGCCAGATTACCTAAGGGAC